AAGGGCAAACAATATTTTGGGGGGTACCTGTTGCTTCCCAACATTACAAAAAAGTCACTCAGATGACTTGAATCAGAGAGGGTCTGGATGGTTCGGAGGGGCACACCCTTGTATACAGTAAATGACAACATTTCTACAAACTCTGGTTTGACAGAAACCAGGGACAGAGAGCAGTGTTTCCAATTTGTTCAAGCTAATCTATCACCTGCTCCTTCTTTACAGAGGAAAGGCGAATCTCGACTTTGAGTGGTAGCAGTTACGATTCTGGACATGACTAACAAAAAATGAGCAGGGAGGGAAAGTATGCGTATTTGTGTGCTCACTGGTTACTGCTCGAGTTGAAAAACTCCCCGATCCACTCAGGACTTTATCGTCTATGTCTCCACTGGTCAAGCCTTGAACTCAAGTAGTTCTGAAAAGGCTGACGTTCTGTAAGCATCGGCATTAGTTGTGTTTATGTGAGCGCGCGCATGTATTTGATGAGCAGCTGCTGAGTGGGGGTCAATGCTGAAACACCATCCAGTTTACAGTACACATGTTACAAGTGTTTCCCACTCAGCATCCTTGGGAGGGCCGCTTTGATTGGTCTTGCTGAATAAATGCTGCTGAAATTGCGAGCATATTGCTGTAAACACACAGCAAGATGTGGCCTCACGGCTGTCTTCTCTCCGTCTGTGCTGGGCTGAGATAAATTAAATGTGAAGAACTGTCAAATTAAAGTCGGGGCCGCCAAACATGATACACATAGCAGCACCCACATAGTTACAGAGACTTACACACAAATAAATCACCTGTAAAAACAACAGGAGGAAAAATGAATAAAAGGCTAAATGCATTTGTTCTTCATAATCCAGTTTTCAGCTAGTCAATCGTAGTCAAGGCATTTCTTGAACTACTTAGTGATTCATTCATGAATTAGAAAATAATTTGTCAGTGTCCCGTCCAAACATTTTGTGAATAACGGTCTTCTACAAAAACAACCTCCGGTATTGGGATTCTTCTGCTCTGTGTAACTTCTTCCTTTTCTCCCCCGACCTTGAAGACGATAATTATCTTCCCCAGAGGGTTATCCAACTAAACAACACAAAGCTGAAAGTGTGTGTATGGATGCATGTGTCGGAGTGTGTGACTGTGTGGTTGAAGGGGTGAGGAAGAACCAGTAGCATGTGTGGTCAATTCTCGAAATTTCCAGCAGAGCCTGACCCGGAGCAACCTCACACTGAGCCTGGATCCTGTCTGAGTCATGTGGTATGGTTTTGTGTGTGTGTGTGTTTGTGTGTAAAGAGAATGAATGTGAGTGATTGTGATGCAGCTAATCCTACTGAGAGAGAGAGATAGCTCATCTCTTTATTAGTTCAAGGGAAACACCTGACTGTAATTTCACATTATTGGCATCTCCACTTCAGCTGCACTCAGGCATCAGATATAACTACAGTATAATTATCATTAGAGACATAACTCTGTTCAGTGAAAAGGACAGGGCTTCTATAAATAAATCTGCACTGGGCCATATACACTTTTTAATAACCTAATAAACAAATAAACTGAATCTATTTAATCCACCATGCACCTGAGCGATAACTGCTCCTCTTTCTTACCCGTTTCCACAGACAGATTAAAGCATACCAATGTTACTCTTTCCACTCCTTAATGTACATACTGTGAAGTATCATTTATTACCATATACCTTAAAATCTGTTAAAACAGTTATGCAATCTGGACTTGTGTAAAGGTCTCACTCATTGGTTAGTGGC